CCTCCAACACAGAAATCAGACTGGAGAGAACACCTCGTAAGCCTTGGAATACACATCGTTCTCCAGCCATAAGCAAACTTACTTGTTTCTTCGAACAGTCAATCTGAGCCTCATACAGACTCAGCCAATCCATGCCCAAAATCACGTCATACGAAGAAATCGGCAACAGAATCAGACTTGATTTCCACTTCTTGCCAGAAATCTCAATCTCACAAAAACAAAACTTACAGGCAATCAGATTACTTCCAGCCGGCTAAATCACGGAAAGAGAAACCGGAAGTAAAATGGAATCCAAACGTAAAGCCTCAAAACATCGATCGGACAGAAAAGAATGACTGGCTCCAGAGTCAAACAAAACACGACAGGGTTGATCAGAAATGTAAATCGTACCTATCACAACATCTGGAGCGTCTCGAGCCTCCTGCTGACTCAAACTGTAGACTCGTGGCTGAACTGGAGCTGGAGCTGAAGCAACAGAACTACTAGGCTCTCCCTGCCTACCCATAGGTGGTCTCCGTGGTACAGAACTAGATCCACCACCTCTATCAGAAAATCCCTCAGGGCGTGGAGGAACAGTCCTCGGTCTTCCTGCTGAACTGGCAGGTCTGACAAAGCCCTCAGATCGGAACTCAAAACACCGATCAAATCCAGTCTGGGGACACTCTACAATCTGATGTCCTGGCTGAACACATCAGAATCACAGACCAGCCATCCTGTAGCATTGGCCAAGGTGTCGCCGTCCACAACTCTGGCACACAGGTGCCATATTGACATATCCAAAACTCGTCGTACTGGTAGCAGTACCAGACAACCCTCCACTCCTCCTAGAGTCACCAGATCCAAAACCAGATCCAAATCTGCTCTTTCCAGAGGAACCACTGCCTGAAGCCTCGCCTCCAAACCTCTTCCTACTCGCAGTCCACCGTTGCTGAGTAGCCATCAGGTCATTCTCAATCAGACGAGCTCGCTCCACAAGCTCAAAAAAATCAGTGATACAGAACGGTATCAGGGGTTGCCACAGAGTATCTCGTAATCCCCTCAGAAATCTGTAGCACCTCTCAGCAGAAGTACTAACCAACTGCGGAGCATACCTGGCTAATGCAGTAAACTCAGCCTCGTACTGCATCACCGTCTTGCTCCCCTGAACAAGCCTCAGAAAGGTCTCCTACATCTGCTGTCGTGCAGAAGGGGGAACGAACCAGTCTCGGAACACCTCAGTGAACTCTTCCCAGGTAATCATAGAGTTCAATCTGCCCTGAAACTTGGCCTCCTGCTGGCCAACCCACCAATGCTCAGCCTCACCATCCAACAGAAATACTGCCAAAGGTACCTTCCTGTCTAACGGACACTGCATGCCGTCGAAGGTCTTCTCTATCCTCCTCAACCACTCCTCAGCTGCTCTGGGCTCAACAGCGCCCTCAAACCTCGGAGGTTTCAACCTCAGAAACATCTGGAGATGTCTATCAATATCATCAGATCTGACGGTAGAAGCTCTGCTCTGAGTCTCGCTCATCATCTGAGCAACAAGTGTCGCAAACTGAGACAGTGTATCAGCACCGGCCACTGGGGCTGTACTTCCCACTGGTGCTGCCTGATTGGCACTCTGCCCGTCTGTCATGTCTGGGTCTGGCTGATCCATACAAAAAATCTAGAAAAATCCAGAAAACTATCACAAAAACAACACAATAAAAAACCAAACAAACCAAAACTACCCCAAACAGACTCACTTACAGATCACTTCCTATAGCTCTGTCTTACATAATCCAAATTCCAAAACCATTGCTCTGATACCACCAAAAAGCTTGTCACGACCCGACCCGAGACGGATCCTGCCCGTACCGGGCCGCGACCCGCTTAACGAACAGACAGACCAGGATCTGGCTTTGGAATTTGCTACGGAACTGATTCTTCCAAATATTTCAACTCAAAAACAGACAAACACAGAGCTACTATGAAACATCAAATGCAGCGGAACAAATCATCTATATTTTTCTTTTCCTCAAAACAATCATCTACAAATACAGTACATGGCTGACAGAAAGAACAAAGAAAGAAAGCCATGACTGTATAAAAATCAAAAAGTACAATATACCTAAAATTGATCTGATCAAACTCTGAACTCTAGTCCAAGACCTCCTTCCCTTTCCCAGAGCCTGAAAAAAATACACGCAGAAAACAAGGGTGAGCTCAACAGCTCAGCAAAGCAACAAATCTCCAATCAAAACTTCCAGAATCCAAAACCAAACACTTCAAACCAAATCCGTACATAGACCAGAACAGGATCAGACAGGTATCAAAATCGTGCAGATCAGAACGAAACAGATTAAGTCAAAACATATACGGATATATATCAAATCAGAACAGATACGGACGTATATCAAATCAGAACAGATACAAAACAGATCAACCAGAACTATACGGAAACAGAAGTCATATCAAATCAGATATCAGATAATATTATAATTAATAGCTAAATTCCCTGACACTGATAGAATCTCTACGGATTCCGGCCCCTTATGCCTCCCTTTGTGCTCACGGCACCAGAACAGATGTGCTTATAGCACTAGAATAGAATTTATCGGATCCGGAACAAAACAGATATCAGATTTCAGATTGCGTTCATTTCAGATTTCCCAGACGCTAACTGAATCTCTTAGGATCTAGGCCCCTTATAACTCCCTTTATATAGCATATACAAATAGCATATCAATTCAGAAGAAATCCTGACGAATTCAGAAATCAGACAAAAATCGGGCAGCACAACTGCTGTATACGGAATTTACACAATTTTCTTGAAAAATCACAGAATACCAAATTTGCACAGAATATAAATAACAATATTTCAGAACATTTATTCTATTACCACAACATTTAATTTCATCACAGAAAAATACAGGCGACATAAAACACCGTCGAATTCAAAAAATCAGAACAAAAATCTCTAGAAAATAACCAAAATGTGCACACTCGGCACGTCAACAACATACGAAAACTTACGCGGTAAAAACTGAACCAGTCGGAAAATACGGATGAAATTAGCTAACAAAAATGAAATCCGGACAGAAAAGTCGTTCAAATTGTACCGTTCTGAAAATTGAGAAAGGCGGAATGTGCCTTACCTTGCGTACAACACTTTACTGAATTGTTACGACGGACGAAAACGGCCCGTCGTCGCCTGAAAATCAACTTTTCCAATTTAGCTCTCGACCTTCTCTCTCCTCGGCTGATTTTAGATATTTATTTTGATTTTCTCTCTCTTCAAAATGACCTGATTTCAGCTTTAAAATACTAAGATTGTCCTGGCCGATCGCACGATCGTCCTGGACGATCAGACCAATTTCACATCGTCTTGGGACGATTTCGCAGGACGATTCAGGATGATAATTAATTTTCAAAAACACCTTGCTCTCTGACTTGTGCCATCCACTGATCGTCCCGGGACGATGCCTCGATCGTCCTGGACTATCAGACCAATAACCCATCGTCTTGGCCGATTCCCTGGACGATCCTCAGGATGATAATTA